GTCACATATGGGGTTTTCTGGAGGTGGCTGGATCTAGGGTGTATAACATTGAGATCAATGATGAATGTTGAGATTAAGGGTGCACTACTCTGGATATGAGTGCCACCTAATGGCAGGTAGTCTAGATGGACTATAGGGGACAGAAAGAGGGCTAATACTTGTCTTCTGCCTGCTTGGCAATGCCCCTCTGCCATGCCACTCTGCCTTTGAGCCAGCCAGTTCTGGACTAAAATCTGCACAAACTCTAAGTCAAAATAAACCTTTTGTCCTTTAACTTTGGGTGTTATCGGGCATTCTGCCTCAGCAACAAGAAAGTAACTAAGATACACAGTATATCTGGATCATGTTCTTACTGGTCAGGTAGAACATGAACAGGCATATCTTGAGTCAATGACAATCTACACACTCAAAGGATCCTTTCATGAAGGAATCAAAAGCCGTGGATGCCCAGCACACTTTATGGTTTATAATTATGGAACAACAGCCATCTTCAAATACTGCTCTATGTGTGAAAATTCTGATGAAGTTATATATCAAGTATGAATTTACTATAAAGTACTGTCACTAAAGCAAAAAAGGCCTATATAGAAAGTATATCTGTTGGTGTCATTTAATGGCAGGCAAGTAGATGTATATATTAAGAAAAAAAATCTGCCAAAAAATGTATACTCTGAAAAGAAAAAAATCTGTATAAATATTTTAATACTAAATTTTTGCAATATCATGAGATTGAGTTACTTTTGGTCTCTACAATTACAAGGAGTGTTCAAAGTGGTAGCTATTTGCTTCCAGACATTTGATATGTATGGTGAACTGCTGAAGCATGTATACATGTTTTGGGCAGATGCTACTTCATTAGAACTAAGTATTCAAGAGAAAGGACTTTATCCATTTCAACTTGGGACAGATACATGATCTGACTAGACACATGATGGTAGAAGAAACTTAGAAAAGGATGTCATGATCTTCAGGGTGATGAAATGCTTACAATCTGAGTGGGGAAACACTGAAGAGTATTGTAAACTAGTTGTCTACCTCTAGGCCCAGAGGAGCCAAGATGAAAGGTAAAGCTGTAGAACTTGGTAATATATTGGGAGATAAAATTAGTCAAGGATTCTAAATTCTTAAACCCATCTTTATTTGACCTTTTTTTTTTCTTTTTGAGATAGTTTTACTATGCAGTTCAGGCTGGCCTCGAACTCATTTTGTAGCCTAGGCTGGCCTCGAACTTGCAGCGATCCTCCTGCCTCAGTTTCCTCAGTGCTGGGATTATACCAATGTGCCACCATACCTCACCTTTGGATTTTGGGGTTTTCTGTTGATGTAAGACTAACAGTTTGAAGGCAAAGAATATGAACCTATGTGTTGCAACACTCCTAACTACGATGTTGGCTTAGAGCCAAAGATGGAAATAGTATTGAGAGGTTTTTACAGGTCTTCGATAGGATCCTTTTGGGGAATGCGGTGAATGGCAATCATAAAAATGACTATTTTTGTAGCTGACCTATTGAAACCTTGAATTGGGGGAATCATCTTACTTTTTTGTGACCGCTCTACATCTGTGAAAGATAGCAGCCCAGTCACTGCTCTGATCCTTTCAGCTAGTTCTTCAGCCGAACAGATTATTAAAATCTAACTCCTTGCAACTTTTGTCCCACTTGCCTTAGTGTTGGCTGCCAAGCCACAACAGTCACAGCCACTTACTCTTTTCCATGAAAGTGCCATACATGTGAAGATGGTAGCATGGTCTAACTTTCTTTCATCTCTAAAGGAACTGCAATTTTCATCTCTGCTGCTTGCATGACAAATTCTAGATGCTCTAATTTCATTTCCCTCCTCTGGAAAAAATTTTTTTCCTCTTAGCTGGGCAAGATCCCATAAACTTATAATTCCAGCTGCTAAGGAGACTGAGACAGGAGGGTTGAAAGTTTGAGGTCTGCTTGGGCAATGTAGAAAGATCCTGTTCAAAATAAAAAGGATGTAGCTTGGTTGTCAAGGTTCTGGGTTTAATCCCTAGTACTGGAGAAAAAATATCTAACTCACAGAATTGAGTGTAGTAATTTCAAATTCAGTGTAACTGATCCAAAGGATATGGAACAATAATATACTACAAACCAAACAAGTGTTATGTTAACTAAAACTTTACAATAAAAGCTTTTGTCAATTTGTTCTCTATAACATATTTATCAACTGTTTCCACTATTTATATACTAAATTTCTTGAACCTAGTAAACGACTTGAGATTTTTCTTTACTGAGATACTTCTTAGAAAGAAGATTCTCAAGCTATGAAATTCCACTCTACTCAGCCCAGTTCTATGACTTTAAGGAATGCGTTTTTTTCCTTTTAGTATGATGGGCACCAAGATGACTTTCTCCCAAAGTTTCTGTCACCTCCTATTTTTCAGTAAGTTCAGAAAAGCAGTCTTTAAAACTGGTACTGCTGTTTTATAGGAGATTAAAATGTCAAGAATTTCAGATAGTCTTTTTAGTAAAATTAGAGCGTATGTGGCCTCAACATGAACTTGCTCTGTAGGTTTTCTGATCTAACACAAAAATCATTCATATTCTGTGCGTGTCTATGTGTGGGATGTGCGTGTACTGGGAGGAGGCAGGAAAAGTGGATAGAAAAGTAATTTTTCTCCTAAGAAATGGCTCAAGTCAGGTACTTGTAGTATATAATCTATCTCAGTAACAACAAAAAACTAATAAAAAAATTCTTGCTTATGCTAATTACCTTTTTTTCTTTAACAGAATTTACCTCCCTTATGGCAACTGATTAACTGAATTTTTTGAGTGAAAACACAAACAGTTTTTTGTTCTTCATTTTCTGTAGTCTGCACACATCTCTCATTTCTAGTGTTCCTGAGAAGCAAAATTAAAAGACAAAACATGTCTTCCTCCAATAAAACCTCCAAATTTTAACTGGCTGACTTTTATGATTGCTCCTCATCCCCCAATCCTTCATAATGTACAACCTACTGTTTGGTTAGGCAGTACCATCACTTATGTTGGGTAGCTAAACATATACTTACATCTACATAAACATGATTCACAATTTAGCACCAACAAAATGGATTATAAAATGTATTCTCCAAATATTAAAAAAATTGCAGCTGGTTGTACTTATTTTTTTTTTAACATGGTTTTTCTTCTTTTGGTAATGGGGATTTATAATCACAGACAGAACCAAATGGTGCTCTCTCCCTTTTTAGTTTTAAATTCTAACATACAGTCTTGCTAACTTGCCTAGGCTATTATAGAACTCATGATCCTCTGGTCTTAGCAACCACGCACAGGAGCTGCAATTATAGTTTCAAGTCACTGCACAGTCTACACTTTAATTTTTAACCTACACCTGAAAATATGGGTAAATTATGGTAGGCTAGTTCCCAAAATATTATTTTCCATTTCTATTTGAACAAACAACATAAAATCTATGTTTAAAAAACCACTTTGGAAGCAGTGGGGGGAAAAAAAAAGCTTTGAAATGTTGGGAGAAAGCAAAAGGTGGGATGGTGAAAGAACAAGAAGGTCAGTGAGAAGCCAACACCATAATAGCACAACTCCAAACTTAGCAGTTAATACACCAAATTCTTGAAAGGTAGCAACTAAGATCTTCCTTGGTTATTTTCATCTCATAGATCAAATGAACATAATCTAAGTAACATTACCCTCTGGAATGTGTATCACTTGTTTGTGACAGTTTGCCAAATTAGTTAAATCTTGACTACGTGGTCAAACAAGGTAATTCAAATTAGTTGGAGAAAGCACTATTCACTAAAATCTCAGGCAAAATGATTATCTAGGTGAGATCTGACTTCAGTGTTCTTTCCTTTCCACTGCCCATTTCTTAGTACTCCTATCCTCCCACAAACCATTTTTTTCCTCTTAAAAGGCTTCCCATGGAAACCAAACAAAGGTGTAAATGATCAAGAAAGCATGCTTCCTGTAAGTATTTACTTTTTAAAATAGGTTAAAGCAAACAAATCGCCTTTTGGTTGAAATTGTTCAGGCAAAGCCTGTGAACAATAGTATTTTTGTTATGTTCCTCTGCATATCATCTCTGTCCCAAAAGGACAGGGTATGTAAAAATGTATCGCCTGCTTTTTCAAAAAACTATTTCAAAAATCATGATATACATTAAATAAACACCAGGATTATCAGAAATAGGAGAACTTACTCCCATTTTCAATCACACATGGTTCACTTGAGGTTAGACGTAGTCACTCACAGCCTTTCCCCAAAATAAAAAGCATAAATGTCCTACAAGAAATTAGCTGTCACATCTCTGGCTCTTTAAATATTTCCTATATTTAACACTCTAGTATCATCATTAAGTGAATCTAATAACTATAGTAAGAGAAAGAAACTAAAGCAATCTAAATCTCTCAATTGAGTCCCAACTTCAAGCTAAAGTACCTGCACCATCTTTCTCAAGCTACTACTTTCCACCCCAAACTTGTGTGTGTGGCTGACTCCTGGCACCTAGTCTTTGACCTCGGTTCTTTCAAACTTGCCTATTTCTAATTCTAGTTTCTAAACTTGCTAATGACTGACTACAGATAAACCAATTAACTCGAATGTGTCAACAGCCCATTAAGCAACTCCTCCTAAATCACACCCTTGAATCTTACTGAGGCCTTTAAGACCCCCAAAGGGTCGATAAATTATAGTAGAACTCCCATGAAGTAAATTTTTGAGATACTTAGTGTTTGAATCACAAGATCTACCTACTATGTCCCCCATTATTTCTTGTGTGTAGGCGCTCTTCAGGATAGCAAGACCGGAAGTTGGTACAGGTATTGTTGATACCGTAAAACAAAACAAAGCCACCCCCCCCAAAACAATTTCCAGTAAATGCGGTACGCTCTCCCCACCAATTTCCCCAATCTCCGTGATCGCCCAGCCTCCGGGTTTCACAAGAAAAAGGTCAGGGCACTTTGCGGTTCCGGCCTGCGAACCCCGGCCATGTAAGCGCGCTGCGCGGATCCCGTTTACCTGCGGCGAAGTGCAACGGGGTCGATTTCCTGCCCGCCGTGTCGCGGCTGTTCACCTTCTCCGGCGTCACCAGCTTCTTGACACGCTCCACATCCCCATTGCGGCACGCCTCGAACAGCTCGCGGGCGGCCGGCTCCACGGCCTCAGCTACCATGCTCGCGCAGGCCGCACCCCCGCCGGCGCAGCGGCGGCCCGACATGATCCTGGCCGCCGCCGCCGCCGCCGCCGCCGCCAAGAGCAGCGCCAGCAACGGTAGCAGGAGCCCCGGCCCCGCGAGCAAGAGGGCGAGGCCCCCTGAAGGAGACGCCCTCAGGGCCCGGGCCGCTCCGGTCCTTGCGGTCACCGGACCTGGCACAGCCCCATGGCCACACAGCCACGGGCTCCTCGCTTGGCTCTGTGCCCTCCGTTTGCCCCGCGGCGGCGGCGCAAACGACGGCGGAAGCAGCGCGAACCCGCCGCCGGAGCCCTGAAGCCAAAACGGCAGCGGAAGCTAGCAAGGCCCTTTCCGCCAGCTTCGTCGAATCTTGGGAGCGCACGTGACGTCGTTTCGCGCGTGCGCAGTTGTAGGGCACCGGCCAGGCCTTTTTCTGGCACTGGAGCCGCGCGGAGGGGCTTGTGGGAAATAGGAGGCTAAGCCTTTGGAGGCGAGAGGGGAAAGGGCTTCGTCCCACCGCCATCTTTATAGCTGGGTCGGCGGGAGCTAAACAACTTATGGTCTATTTTAAAAGTAGATGTCTGAAGACGAATTTCCACAGTGTCATTATGCCGAAAAAGAGCCCTTGAAAGTTTTGCTCCGTTTTGTGTATGCTTTTAGCAATTCTAGTTTGGAAAATTTCCATTTTCTTGGTTTCCATAGTCCTTCAGGGGAATAGCTTTTCCGTTTTACTGTGTCTCCTCCCTTAAATATCCCGCACTGCCCTGTCCCCACTAACTGCTTTTTCTTGTTTCTTGTAAGTTATTTTTCAGAAGTGAACTAAAGGTTGCTTTCCACTTACCGAGAAGTTTGGATGAACCTCTGCAAGATACAGAACTTGAAATCAAGAAAGCGATGAAAGTTAGTTTCCATGGTCAAGTAACATTTGAGAAGGATGGCTCTTACCAATTTCGTTTTCCATAGTGTGTTCAGTACTGACTAGAGAACTTAACGTGTGAGTGAATGTGTGTTGCATGGGACAAGGTTGAGTGAGTGCTGGGACGCTGTGGTAGATATGCATATTTTCATGAACGTTTTCTGATTTTCCCTGTGGCTAACACAAGAAAAACAAAAAATTCATTTTCATGCTTAGGGTAGTGACATTGTTATGTATTCCTTATGCCATCCCATTGCGTCCAGAAACTGAATGAAATGATTACGAAGAGTTTTCTTTGCATAAAAGTGTACACACGCTGACAAGAATTTACCCCCAGGTATATCAACCTGTTATCCAGGTATTGTTTTTTTAACAGTTTTATAAATACGAACATTGTTATAAATACGTAAATTGAACCAGGCACCTGGATAGGGGATTGTGATTATTTTATCATTGTTTCTTTAAAGTTCATATTGTAGCTGAGTAATGGGCTTCACATAACGTTAACTTTCCTCCTTGCAAGGTACATGCCCAAACAAGTTCCAGCGTTTAGTCTCCTATCCCCATACAACTTGAGAAGTCCCTTTCAAGTAGGGACACACATACTTTACACCCCCCCCCCAACTCTAGTTAATCTTTGCACACTTGTTTATGAATTTTACTTGTAGGAATTGTTTCTAGCAATGTTGCAGGTACTAGATCCTGTCAAAGAGATGTAAAGTGAGTCTTCAGATAATACCTGGCTGTATGTAGAGCTAAGATGAGTGGACAACAGGATCACCTGGACGTGATTAAGGGGTTCCAGGGGTGATCTTCTGACTCTTCCTTACACAGAAGTAAAATATAAAGGTTCTCTTTTGGAACTTCTCCACTCTTTGCTTTGTTTTGTTTTATTGGAACATTTTAGATACATATAGTGGCAACATTCATCATAGGAAATTTATACCTGTACATGATGTATCTTGTTTTCCAATTCCTCTTCCCTCCCTTCAATCCCTGCTCTTTTGTGGTGTATTAACAATCTTTTCACCTGTTCCATATTCCTTGACTGTTGATTTTTTACCATCTCTAGTATTAGCTTTCCTTATATTACTTCTCAGGGCAAAACCTGTAATTTCAGGACTGGTTGAGGAAAGAGAATCTTGAGTTTGAGAATAAGGCACCCTGGACTGTAGAGTCCCTGTTTCCAAAAATGAAACAAAACAAAACCCTAAATAAATACGCAAATTATGAAATCATATGTACTTGACCCATTTAGAATACATTTAAATTATGGTGGATGTTAGTAAAATGAATAGGCATGATCGTACCTAGGAATTACAACACTACTGATCTGGTTATTTCTTGTTTTTCTTCCCTATTTCATCTGTTTGCCAAATATACTTCCAATTTTTATTATTTAGTATTTAGTAATTTCTATTTGTCATGTATTCCTTTCCTCTAAGTGTATAGCTAAACAATGTATTGTTTAGTTTTACTTTTGTTTTTTGAGGCAGGGTCTCACTATGCAGTTCAGGCTAGCTTTGGGCTCATTTTGTAGCTCAGGCTGATATCAAACTTGCAGTGATCTACCTGCCTCAGCTCCTGAGTGCTGGAATTATAGGAGTGTGCCACCATGCCCAGCTCTAGTTTTACTTATTTTTGAGCTTTATAAAAATTATCAGTCTTTGTAACTTATTTTTATTTAAATGCTTTGTGAAATTTATGTATTCATTTTCATTGCTTTAGAGAGTGGTATTATGTGGATATATCACAAATTCACAAGCCAACTGGATATTTGGTTTTCCATTTTTTGTTAGTATGAACATAGTACTGTGGGCAAGAACTCAGTATGAGAGGCTTTAGACATTATGGCCTCTACTAATAGGATAACAAGTGGAATTGGTGTCTTCAACCAGCAATGCACTCAGTTATATAAAACAAATCTTATTAAAGTGCTGACCCAAGGTTTGAAAACACTATAGGAATGGACTGTAAATGTTTACTTTATACAGTAGTGTCAAATTGTTTTCAAAGAGATTTAATATTGTACATACCCACTAGCAGCATGTAGATTTTTATTTGTTTTCTAATCTGTCCTCACCAATCCCTGGTATCATCAGGTTAATTTTTCCAATTTGGTGAGTGCATAGGTCAGCTAGGTCTTTGTTGAATCTGTTATAAAAAACAATAGTAATTCTTTAAAAAAAAAAGCATACAAATACCACATGATCCACTTTTTGGTATATATATCAAAAGAATTGAAACAGGATCTCAAAGACATACTCGCACGTCTGTGTTCAGAGCAAAATTACAAAAGCCAACAGGTGCAAGCAATTCTAATGTGCACGATTGGTTAAACAATATATGGAATATGTACATAAAATGTAATAATATTATTGCCTTAAAAATGAAGGTAAATGTGTCACATGCTGCAAGATGGATATACCTTGAGAATATAATGCTAAAGAAAAAGAGCATAATAGACAAGTAATTCAACTTCTAAGAGTTATATTTGTTTACTGAGTGCAGTCATAACAAAATATCACAAAATAGATGATGTAAACATTTTCTCACAGTTATAGACTAGAAGTACAAGATCAAGGAGTTGGCGGGTTTGATTTTTCCTGAGACTTCTCACTGTGGCTGGTAAATAGCTGACTTTTCACTAAGCCTCACATGTCCTCTCCTCTGTGAGCTTATCTCTTGTGTCCCTTGTGTAATTCCCAGTGTCCTCATTTTATAAGGGTACTCATCAGATTGGGATAGGGCCAATCCCATATGACTTCATTTAACCTTAATTTTCTCTCTAAAGCTATTTCTCTAAATAGTATATTTTAGGGGTCTTTGAGGAATAGAACTAATAAAAAATGTGTATAAAGGGATTTAATAGATTAGTTTACAAGATTAGAGGCTGGTTTATCCCACAATATTTATCTACATAGTGAACAACCAGAGAAAGTAGTAACTGCAGGGTTGCGGAAGCTGGAAGTCTTAGAATAAAAGGGGCTGTTGATACAACCCTACTCTGAGCCTGAAGCCTGGAGGCTCCCTGGAGGCTCCCTGGAGAGTTGCTGCTATGAGTCCACACTGAAAGCAGAGGAAGCTGGAGTCTGATGTTCTTAGGTGATGGCACTGGCAGTAGATGGAGCTGCTCAAGAAAGAATCTGGCCTGCATCCCTAGCAGGCTTTGTGTTTTTCCCTCTTTTGTTTCATTTGAGTCTCCAGACTACTAGATGTTGCCACCCACATTCAGGGAAGGTCTCCCCACTAGGTTTGCTGTTCCACATGTTGATCTCTGGAAACACCTTGGTAAACACACCCAGAAGTGTATTTAACTAATTTTCTACTTGTCTCTCAACTGAATCATCTTAACAAGAGTAGCCATCATATACACTCACATTCAGAACTATGTTACAGGGATTAGGCCTTCAACATAAGAATTGAGGAGTGGATGGGGAACAATTGTACTCGTAACATGGAGTATCTAAAGTTTAAAGACAGACAGCCAGAACTACACAGCAAACAATGAGACCCTCAAACAAACAAACAAACAAACAAAAAGTCTCTTGTGGACCAACTTAAACTAAAACTGTTAGGGAGGAAATTAGATAATTAAATGACACATTACATAGATGTCAGTTTTCCCTAAACTATTCTATTGATTAGTTCAGTTCCAATAATAATCCCAACAGTTGTTTTTGTTTTTCCTGTAGAAATTTATAAATTGATTCTAAAAGTTATACAGAAATGCAGAGGTATTGGGGACCACAAATTCACAGTGACTGGTTTTGTATTTTTCCCTGTGGAATGAGAGGAAGGATTGAGATTGTTGATACCACCCATCTGGGATTTCCCATTAACTCTTCCAAGCATAGGATCATCTACGCCTTCTTAAATCATCACAGGGTTTGTTGGGTTAAGATACTTAAAACATAAAATTATCTACGCCCTCTGGAATTGGGAATTTTTGGATGAATTGTAATCCTTGCTAGCCCTACCTATCATTGTGTTCAAGCTGCTCGGGAGTGGAGAGATGGGATTCAGAGACATTGACTTTCAGCCATTGAAGGGCTGAAAGCCATAAAAGTATTCACTGAAGGAATACTTCTCTTGTTTTTTATTTGTCTTGCACCTAGAGACAGATAACTGGGACTTATGGCCAGGTTCCTGATACTGACTACCGGGACTCTTGGCTGAGTTCTCAATACAAAGGACCAAGAATGGTCAAATAATCTTGAAGACTAAGATTGAGGGCCTTTGACTTCCAGATATCATGATTTGTTATATTACTACAATAATGAAGATACAGGCCAAAAGAGAGACAAACAGTTCAAAGAAACAATAAAAAGTCTGAATAGAGGTAAAACAAAAACAAAACAAAAAACTGTGACAATACATACAATTATCTGATTAATGGGGTGGAAAAAACCTATAGTACTGCACAGTAATGAAATAGTAACCTCAATAAATGGTGCTGG